GTGGCTTTGGCTCTGTCATTGTTCCAGTCGGTGCACAGTTTGCTGGAATTTGCGGGAAATTCTGTCCCCCACACAAAGCTTCTCTCATTTTAATAAACAACAGAGATTAGGGAATGACCGAGGAGACTGCCGACCTGAGGCGGGAGAGGAGGTCTGAACACCTTACACCCAGAACAAACTTGTGTACAGCTGAAAAATCACGAGACAGACAATCTGGGCTCGCAGATGGCTCTGGACACGGCTCGGCCTTACCTTTGTTGCAGAACGTCCCGTCGTATGCCGTGCTGGAGCAATCACAGGAGTAACCGTGGTATTTCTCTATGCATCTGCCTCCGTTCTCGCAGTTCGTCCCGTAGCTGGTGCAGTGGCCCGAGCAGCCGGATTTGAACCCGGATGTGACCTTTGCCCTCTCCTCCAGGTCCAGGGTCACCCCATTCATCCTTAGGGAGCGGATGCAGCCCAGGAAGCCCTGCTGGCCTCCAGCACCACCTGGGGACAACAGAAGGCACGGGGCTCAGGAGAGTACCGCTGCCACGCGGCTTCTGCGTGCACTGTCACGGCTCGGCGGACAGCGGTGGGGATGGGACTGCAAAGTGCCGCTGGCGCGCTCACTTTCAAGCTGGGCCTGCCTAAGAAAAGCTGGAAGCGTTCCTCCTTCGGCTATAATGCCTGACTAAAAGAGGCTGTCTTCTGAGAAGCAGAAAATTTGCTACAGAAATAAAACGTTTGGAGACATACAAACATTACATAAACTATTTGGGAAGCCTGATCTGGTTTCCTATAGAAAAGTAGTTTACAGAAGTCTGTAGGTTCTTTGGTCTTTAATCTCATGGCTTTCAGTTCTGTGCATTATCTATTGAAAGAAATACAAAAAGGCAGAGAGACATGAATACATTAGCATAGTTAACAAGTCAATTAGTCGGAAGGCATAAATCCATTTGAAATATGACTGGTTCTTGGTCTCAGGCAATGCTTGGCTTTGCAGTTCCTATGAAGGGCTTCCAGGGCTTCTTGTCTGGTTTGGTGAAAAGCTGGAATTGGGAATTTTACACAGCAGTCAGCCACACCACACTTTTTACCAGGTCAGGTTAGACCTCATTGCTTTTGTCGAAATGCCATTGCAGGACATAAAACACAAGAAGTAAGCTCAGTGTGATTTTTCTAACTTAGAGAGTGAGACAGAGGTTCATGGGCATGAAAATATCCAAATATTCCTGTGGTGGAGGGTTGAGTTTATTTTACTTGGTTCTTGTTTCCACCACAACAAAGAACTGAAGGGCAGAGACACAGTAGTGAAGCCGAGTCAAAGTTTTATTTAAAGTGATGCACTTAAAGAGAAAAAATGTGTGGGCGTCCTCAGAGAGGAGGTGTGCTGAAAGGCTGGGGGTTCCCTCTTTTAAGGATTTTGCAAAGGGCCAGGGGGTATAAACTTGTCCAGTGGCCTCAGGATGCTTATCTCTGGCGAGAGACACCATATCTCCTCTCCTCTATTATCAGCCCTCCAGGTAATTCTGCAAAATTAACTTAACACAAGAAATTTACTGATCTGGTTCCTTGCCGGGGTAGCAGCTCTCTCTGGGAACACATCAATCAAGACCATTTGCCCTGCCCCCAAGGTGGGCTGAGTTATTGTCTGTTTGCTAAAGAATATGTTAGGAATATTACTTCCTAACTTCCTGGCTTTTAAAATGGAATCTTAGCTATAAGATGGAATCTCCCCTCTTTTTATGATACTGCTTATCTCTGGGCTTTTTCAGAAAATTAATCATGATGCTTGTCTCTTGCCTTACTTGATTAGGAGCTGGAGGAGGAGGAAAAAAAAAAACATATAGGTTAAGTTAAAGAATAAGCTGGGCCTTTTAGCAGGCTAAAATAAATCTTACAATGGCATGATCTAATTGACACAATGAAGACGTGGGCTGTGCTCAGATACTTTTCTTTGGGGAATATCTGGACATGCCGGGTTACTCCTGGCCTTTGGGGCTTCAACTGATTAACTCTTTAACTCTGTAAGTCTTCTCTGGCTTTCCAGTTTTATCTGGTTAAATCTTTGAGACCCTTTTAGTGGGCTTTACTGGCCTTATTTTCTCTCCACCCCACTCGTATCTATTTTTCTGCCTAACATCCCTAACACACTTCACAGAAGGATTCACCAGAGCTTTTGGATCACAGGTGGATTTGATTGTGTCTCGGCCGTGGTTGTTTGTGCAGCTGGTACAAAAGGAGGAACTGAAGATTCTATACACGTCTGTACCTTACAGCAACTACTTTTCTGGAAATTGAATAGAATAAAAAGCAGTTAAAATTATTAAAAGACACATGTGGTGGGGATTTAGAAAGAAAGATGCTATTATGAAATAGAAGTTATTCTTTTATTGAGTACCTATGTAGTAGGTACTCTACTAAGTGCCTTACATGCATGATTGGCCGATTCTCACAACACCCTGGCAAGGTAGGCGTTATTATCATCATCCCCACTGCACAGATGAGGAAACTGAGGCTTAGAGAAGTTCAGAACTCTGTTTTGTGCTGACCATCTAACACAGAACTTCAGGGGCAGGGACTCACAGGTGTACATGTTTCTGAGACATAGGTTTGGATGTCTTTCAAAATGTAATGGGTCAATAGGATTGTCAGCGTTTGGGTAAGAATGGTAATGCTGGGGATTGATTCTGATCACTTATTCTAGTACCTGGAGAAAAAGTGTGCAATCTAGCAGACTCTTCAAAGGGTTGGGGATCAAGGGTTTTAGTGACAGAGATGGATTGGTGTTTGCTTATTCCTGTAAATCCTCAGCCATGAAATGGCAAATGACTCATTCTATTATCTTTATATACTCAAGCCTTGCAGTTCTCATTGAGTAATACATAAATTTGAATGATGATTCTCTAGGGATTACTATTTTTTAAATAAAATATTTGAGAAGAGGATTAATTGAAGGGAGTCCAATGCCCATTTTGCTCAAAGCTCTGGAACAGTAGATGGCAGAAGAAGTTATTAAAAACAACCACTTTGAAGGATTTTCCATTTCGCAATGTGCTCGGCACCTCTTCACACACCTCTGTACTGAAGAGAATTTGGGTCTTTGCTGTCATTTGGAAGAATTTCAACCCATTAGTCACTCTGTGTGTCTTAAAATTTCAATTTGGCTTCTGTCATTTTAGCAACTGTGCCATTTGTTCTTACAATAGGGCTGTCCAAAGGGCCTTTTGTGCAATACATGCCTAGGTATTTAAACTTTCATCACTAGTCAAGTAAGTCAAATATATACTATCAGAATATGCTGACATTTAAAAATCACTGTTTTTATAAATCTCCTCCTTTCCCCTGATTGTTAATGTTAGTAGCTTTTCATTGTGGAAACCATAAACATACTGATAAGCAAAATGAAAAGGAAAGTCTATAGTGCTACTGAGATGTAACTACTTTCACTTTTAGCAATAGCCTTTTCAACTTTTATCTATGAACATATGTGTAAAAAAAATAAAGCAATGGAAGAAATGGGATCACAATATATATACTGTTTTAAAATTTGCTTTATGTATTTAATAATCATAAAACATTTTCCAAGCAATAAATGTACAACTAGAACTCCTTGTTTAACATCTGGATAGCATCCCATTCTGTGAATGCACTGGACTTACTTCACCTTTCCATTATCATTGGACTTTTAAGCTTATCCCAATTTTTCATTTTCTCTGATACTCTAATAAATATCATTGTAAAACCTTTGCACACTTGCCCAGTGTTTCCTTAGAGTTAATTCTTAGAAGTGTAATTTCTGGGTACAAAGGCATATACATTTTAAAATCTTTGAAATTCATTGTCCTCTGAGAAGATTTTATCAATTTGTTTTTCCTCAGTTGGATACGAGATTCCTACCTTCTCTACACCAAATCTAATACTAGGCAGGATCCTCTTGAATTTGTAAAATAGGGGAAAAAAAGAGTTCATTGTTTTAAATGGCATTGCTTCAAATATTGTGTTTAATAATTTTTATGTTTTCCACATTCTTAGTTTTTGCTTCTTCATCTGCTTTGCCTTTAGGGGGGAATAAGAGAGGATATATTTCTTATTGATTGATAATAATATTTGGCTTTAACTCTTTGTGATAAATCTTGCAACTACATCCTTCCAGTTTGTATCTGTTAATTTTTATATGGTGTCTCTTTTTCCCTATGAAAATTGTGGATGTTTATGTAGTCATATCCCTCTATCTTATTTGTGTGACTTTGCTTTTGGCATTAGGCTTATAAAACCTCTAATCCAAAATAATATAATTATTCAACTCTATTTTCTTCTAGCACTTTTATGATTTTACTTTTCTCAACATTCTAATCTTTAATACATCTGGAATGTATTCTAATTTGGAGATGATTTGCATATAATGGGTCGTAGCAATAGGTGAGAGTTTGAAAAGTCTCTTTTTAAAAATCAGACATTTAAAGAGGGTCATTTGGCAGAGTAAATCAATCTAGGTTAGATAATATTTTTATTATATCATTAAGGTGAACATTTAGATATGTTTGTAAACAGGCCTCAATCCATGGGGGCAAGGGGGGAAGATATTATCTCTCTGCCACTGTATCTTCTACACCTCTCAGTCTTCCTGTGTTTATGTTTGTTTATCTCTCACTATCAGGACTGTTGACTGTCTTGGGTTAGTGGTGTAGATTTCATCAAGTTACTTAATCTCTCTCAGCATCTGATCCATAGCAAAGGGGATCAAACTCGACAATGTCTCTGGTTCCTTCCGGCTCTAAATTGCTCTGGTCCATAATATACAGCCTCTTCCTCTATTCTTATGTGTCTCTGTCTCTATTTCTCACTAAATCACTCTCAATTTCCCCTAAATTTCCTTCTTTGCAACTGCTGCCTGACCTTTTTTTCTCTTTATCTTAATTGATGATAAAATATGACTGTAGTCTAACTTGTATTTGTTGAATTCATTAAATAAGTTTTGTACTCCCTCTTCTTAATTTATAAAGCAGATAAGTGCAATGCCATTTCTCTTTCAATAAAAGAAAACTAACTAAATTATGCTCTTTTCTTACTTAGATGGCCCCTGATTTATTAAATGGATCCGTGAGTTGGAAAATACTTCTACTGATCTAGTCAATATGAAGAAAATCTTTTGTCCTGAAAATGGTCATTATATATTATGCAAAGGATGTTAATGCACTAGAACCAGTGATAATTATTTGAGTTCAACTTAGGTGCTCTATAGAAATTTTTCCTGGTGACAAATGTCATAAGTTTAAATTGTAGGTCTGCAAGCAAAAATGCTACTTAACCTTCGTTAATTAGAAAATCAACACATTGTCATTGGAGAGAGCCCCCTGCCATGCAAGGCCTTCATGCACATTAGTCAGACCTGTGGTAATTATCCAAGGTGAGATGTGGGTTTAATTTGCAAATCATTTTTCATGTGAAATGCTATTCAAGTGCTGCAATTAAAGATTAAGTATGAAAATGCTGTCACTGCCCAT